CTAAGGGGAGTGGGGTGGGAAGAGGGGTGCAGGACAGAGGGAAATAAAGGGGAGAAAAAAATGGGACAACTGTAATAGCACAATCAATAAAATATACTTTAAAATATGTTAAAATATTTTCCTCTGAAAAAAATTAGAACCGGCTGAATTTTATGTACATATATAAAATATATATGATTTCAAACTTTAAAGGTCTTTCCTATCTCCAATTTCCTCATTTTCTGTTTTTATTTCTAGAAAATACTACCCTAAGTTTTAATTCACCATATCTACTCCCTGGGTCTTAACCAGCGCACTGCCTTCTCCTGGTGCCTCAAAGGGAGTGGGGCCTCCAGCGCTGCCCAGGAAAGGCACCGGAAGGGTGGGGCTTGTCCCGCTGTGAGCCCAGCCCCGACGGCACCAACAGATAAGCTGCAGAAGACAGGTTCGATCTGAACCAAAATGGGCCAATGTCATTCTAAGCACCTTATGCCTGAATAATTAATTTTTCATGAATACATTTTTATTATATACATACATATATTTATTTACTCCAATTCCTTTCAATTCCATGAGAACTTTGTTTTACTACAAGCCAAGAACTACATCTATGCTTTTAATAAAGTAAAACAACATTAGGATGGAAACAATTAGATGTGTATTATTTGCCTTAGAAATTCAACAGGGAATACTGAAGCAATATTATTTTCCTCTGAATTTCAATCCAGACTTATGATAAAATTAGCCAGACAATAACTGTCATATTTACAGCAAATGTTACTTCTAAAATTTTTATTGGAAGTGAAACTTTGTAAGATCATTAATGTAAGTGCTTGTTTCTGAAACAGTCAGGGACTAAAAGATTTCCACAGACCTAAAGAAAGTGCACGTTTTGAGACCATGGGCAAATCACTCCCCACACAGAACACAAGGACAATGCCAGCAGCCCCATTCACATCACTGGTCTGATTTAAAGAAGAAATGAGATACTGTTTAAAGAGCTGTAAACTTTAAAGGACTAGGCCAATACTGGCTGTTACTTTTTGGGGGGATATTATCAAATTAGAGGCTCTGAAAGCCATAGATAAAGGAAGGAGACCGGGTTTACGGTTCACTGTGAAGGTCAACTCCCATCGGGGCAGATGGAGCTCCCTGCAGTGACGAAGCACGACCTGCGCTTCCTGGCTCAGCAGCCACAGGCCCCTGAGCACCTGAACGTGGATACTGTGACTAAGGACGTGAACTTCCACACAATTCCACTTTCTAATTACTTTAATAGTATATTTTACTGAATTTGAAGGAGTTTCTAGAGCTACAGGTGGTGACTGGCTGTGAACCACAGGGCAGTGTAGCTCTAGTCACAATCATATTTCTTAATAGTAAAAATAAAAGATTTTAAGGTGTAGTAAAATTAATTCTCTTTATTTCTTTTACTTTTTAACCCTCGCCTGATATGTTTGTTGATTTTAGAGAAAGAAGAAGCAGGAGAGAGAGAACCATTGGTGTGAGAAACATCGATCAACTGCCTCCCGCTTGGGCCCAACGAGGGGTTGACCCCATGACCTTTTAGTGTATGGTGGCACCCCAACCCACTGAACCACCCGGCCAGGGCAAGTCACTTTATTTCTTTAGGTTGTAAAAATGTAATTCTAACAACATTTGCTATGAGAACTTCTTAATACAAAGGGACTGTCCAGTGGCCATCCCACATGACCAAACACGTGAAGGCTGGAGCACCCTACGCCGTCTACTGGTGAAACTGTTCACACAGAGGTTGTGTCTCCATAGTGACACACTGATATTCTGACTCTGCACAACCTCCACTGGAGATGAGGCCTCGGGAGAGAAACAACAGCCCAGACATCTTCAGAGAGCAAATACCTACGCAACGTCATTCTCATTGAGTTTTAACCTGAAGATTCGTGTTTATGAAACCACAGCAAATGCCAACATCAGAACGTCCAGAGACAGAGCAGCGAGGCTGGGGGCTCAGTGCACACGTGTCCCTCGCCGGGCCTGCAGTTCTGAGAGGATGGATGCTGCCTCTCGTTAGACGATTAACCACCGGGTCACACGGTTCAGTCTTATGTCCCCCTCCTAAGATTTGAACTCTCAATGAGAATTCTGGATGGTGTTCAGAGAAGTGACTATGATGGACACCTAACTTATGATGTCCAAATGTCTGGTCCTTTCCCTACAGAGGTTAGGGAAACAGCTTAAACGTAACTGGAAGGTGAAGCATTTAAAAAGAAGGAACAGCCCTTACTGCTGTGGCTCAGTGGGTTGGGTGCTGTCTGTGAATGAAAAAGTTGCCGGTTTGATTCCTGGTCAAAGCACATGCCTAGATTTCACGTTCAGTCCCTGGTTGGGGGGCATGTCAGGTGACTGATGGATATTTCTATCATACATTGATATTTCTCTTCTGCTCTTTCTCACTCCCTTCCCATCTCCCTAAAATATAATAAATAACATCTTAAAAAAAGAGAAGGAACAAAGTTGACCTAGTCCTGTGACTTTCTTGGGTAGAGGAAAAACTCGGTTGGTAAATGTGACCGTCTTCCACACATCAGAATTTCAGGGATCTTACTTTTTTTATTCAGTGAAGGGGAAGACACACAATGTATTTTTACTTGAGGGTGAGGAAACACTCACCCTGAAGACATCCTAATGTGCCATGGGCATGTCTCAGCTGCCCGGGTAGGCCTCACTGCCTCGGTCAAGGTCTGCCAAAGATGCCGGGCCTTTCCCTCACCACACCATTCTGTCCCTAAGCTCAGATCTGGCTTGTTCTCTGGACACCAGACCTGCACAGAGACCCCAAGCACTGGTACTGTTTACACAGGATACCAAGATATTCTGTTCAATAATATAGTTTAATTTAGCTTAATTTCCTTCAAATCCATACCTTCCAGCCACTCATTTTATCCAAATTAAAACAGCCCAGACTTCCTCAACTTTGCTGCAAGTATGAAATTTTTAATAATAAAACATGGCAGGGAAAAATGCCCCATGCCACTCACATTCTAGGTTATTTCCAGGCAGCTCAGAGCAGCAATTCATCTTCTGGGTTCATTTACAATGCCAAATCCTGCCACGCTTATGAAAGAGATTTTCCCTGTGTGTTATTATGCTTCAGACTTCCTGCCTTTCACCCCAGTGCCTGGTGGTGCTTCAGATTTACTCCTATCATCTTGACACACCTTTCTAGGGACCCACTACCAGTTCACACCCCCCACTGCAGTCCCAGGGGGCAGCGGTGCCCCATGCTGGTTACCGTGCCAGCTGACGCATGGGCGGGACACACACAGCTCACCTGCCCACTCACAGGAATGCCCATGAGCCAGGCACCACCACACCGCACAATGACAGGGTCCACAGCGGGTCCCAGAGTCCTGTGGGCAGTGCTATTTTATCTCAAAGGGGGTTCCTATTACTTTAAAAGAGCTGTTTTTGTGTGGGAGCTTTTATTTATCCTTTATCATAAAACTAGTTAAATGCATATGGTTAGTAAGCAGAAAAATCTTACGACTGAGACTTGAAAGTCCCTTCTCACAGTGTAGCTTTTATATGAGGCAATTAAGGTTTTTTCTCTTCATATTCCACTCAGTTTCCGCTCTTGCTTCACACTTTAAAGGTTTCTAGAGTTGAGATCACTACCAATTAGTGTCTTGTGCAACATGCGAGCTGCCTTGCCCAAAGCACAGGCGAGCTGGGGCCTCCGTCGTGCCCTCACTGACTCCGCTCCTCAACAGAGGCTGTTTCTAGATTAAAGAGATAATATTTTCTTCTGACAAGCACCAGTGCAAACCCTTACGAATATAGTTTTCTGCAGAATAGCTGAATCAGTATTTTTCCTCTAAAATAAGGCAACCATTTGCCTCTTCCCTATACTTCTTTCCAGTGGCCAAAAGTTCCTGTGCTCTTTTGTCAACAACCTAAAAAAGGATTTCCCTGTCCAGCACAGCTTCCACGAGACACTGCTTTCTGTCTGCGCCCTTCAGAGCACGCGCACTTACGCCGGTTTGCTGGAGGAAGGGCCTGCGGTGGAGGAGTGGGGAGTGTTCCAGGCTCACACCACACAGCACCTCTTAAATCAGCTCTTCTGACCAGCGCACCAGCCAGTCAAGCCACCGTGTCGGCACGGCGCATGTCATTCAGTAATTATGGCAAACACTGAAAGCTGCCTGCCCCTCACCACTCTTCCGACCAGCCCTTGCTGGGTGAGCCTACCTGCTGTTGTGGGGCCTAAAAAGCTGGAACTGCCCCTTCGGCCCTCCCTGGTACCAGGGTGCAGGTGCACCACCGCTGGGCTATGGGAACGCCCTGGGTGGGGGGAGCCTCTGACAACGATGTTTCCCTGACAAACGTGAGGGGCGAAGACACTCGGTGCCAGCTCTGCATTCACTGGACACCACGGTTGAAGGGCTGGTGCCAGGATCTGTGGCATATGTCCTGTGACCAGGGAGGAAGGTCGAGCTGACCAAGAAGGGCAGACCTCAGCCCTGGCATCATTGTCCAGCTAAAACTCCCCATCGTTTTTCACTTCTTCTTTCAAGAGGAGAACGAAGCCCTGATATTTAAACTTGGTGGTCAGGCATTCTGTTACTTGCTACCAAAGCCTCCTAACTAGAATCCCGCAGTGATGATAATGAGAGGAAGAGGAGGAAGAGGAGGAAGAGAGGGAGAAGAGGGATACAGAACAGCGGCTACCACTGATTGGTACTCACCGTATGCAATGCACTGTGCAGGGCACCTAATATGAATTATCTAATTTATATCACAAAACACTCCTCTCAAGCAGAGATTTTTATTCCTACCTTACAATGAAAAAACTAAGGAACAGGGAGGTTAAATTACTAGCGTAAGGTTACAGAGCGAGCAGTGAGACAGCTGGGCTTTTCATTCACCGCTGACTGATTCAGAGCTCAGGTTATTAATTGCCACACAAAAGGCCTCCAAGGATCTGGCTGCAGAGATGGAGGGGGCGGTATTCCGGGCACCGCCTTGTGATGGGCACTGACCTTTTCCGCCTTCTGGTGGAAAACGGAGGACATGTCCAGCAAGGTGCTGCGCTCATCCAGTGCAGCGGCAAATGCCTTCCACTCCTGCTCCAGCTGATTCGCGATCTGCTTAATCTGCTGCGAGGCGTAGTGGCCAGACTCCACCAAGCGATTGGCCACCGACATGATCCGGTTTATGTTGACATACACGTTCTGACAAAGGGGCAGAGAAAGAGGGCTCCTTAGGGGAGGGCAAACAAGAGGCTTCTTTTAAAGCACGTGAATAGCACTTTCTGAAATATGGCCCATTCCCTTATCCTATTTTAAATGGCAGAATCACCTGATACATAATAGTACACATATTTGCTATGTAGATTTCTGTAAGCTCTAAGTATTAGTTCCCATTTCTGCTTTTCAGAGTGGGGAATTACAAACCAGCTAGCTGAAAGTCATACTGTTAGGTCCAGAGCAACCAAACGCACAAGTGTGTGCACACAAATACACTATTACTCACTCCTTGGCTCCTGATCCTGAAAAGGGTCCAGATGGCAAGCCTACCAACTAGCAGTCACCAGAACTGCAGGGACCCAACATTTCAGTTGCTAAACCACTAAATATGTACTTAGCAGTTCAAGGCTATTTGTGTGAAAACAAGCTCTCCTTTCTACATAATTCCAAATCATCTTTTCAGTGCCAGCTGAAAATATTCTGTAAATGGGTCCACTTTCTCCAAGGAGAATGAACTGGGGCACAGAACAATGCTGTGTTCAAATGTTAAATCAAGCTTTTTGACTCTGCTGAAATTCCTATCTTCAGGTCTACCCATTTACTGCAAAAATAAGGGACCGAAGCTTAAAACAAAAAAGAACCCTGAATGTTTTGCAAAACAAGTTCTCATCATGGTGTTTCCCTTTCCACCTGCAATATTCTGAGGGTCCTATTATAACCAAGGCTTGGGGGCTTGTGGGGGGGGACACTTTCAACAAAACCCAGGCTGTGGTTTTTCACACACTTAGGATTTCTTTGTGGTACATCAGAACACTGCTGCTCCCCGTGGGCCCCCCAAAGTCACAGACACAGCTTTGGCTCCTCCCAGCCTTGCCCCTGCATCTCCTCACCTCCCCTGTCCAAACTCCTCTACATTTTCCCTCTCTTCTTCCCTTCCTACACTGGTCCTCTGGGCCAGTCTCCCACTGCCCGGCTCCCAGACCTCAGCAAGAGCTGCATGGCTGTTACCTGCTCTGCAGCCCACCCATGTAAGCATCTTGGGGGATTTGTATGTCCATTCTTTCCCTGTACCTTCTTTCACTCAACTTTTCCTCCATTTCTGACCCAAACCTGAACTAAGTAGCATTACCTAGATCTGGGATCAGAGAGCCACAGACATCAGCGGCTGAAATACTTTTCTGGGGCTGCATCATTGTGCTGGGATCAGCTAACAGATGGCCGGGTGTCGAGAGTGGCAGTGAGAGAGGACACTCTGTGAGGTTGTGACAGCCAGTGAAGGCCACAATCAGTGGGGAACTGGCCTCACTGGCTCGTGTGGCATTGATGCTCTCATGAGTGTCCTTTAAGTCAAAAGCAGTGCCTCCCTTTCTCATAGCACACTCTCTCTCTAGTGACAGGTAACTAGGTTCGCTATGTTTGCTTTCTCTATATCCTTAAAGAGGAAAATCCACCCATAAGCTCTGTTAGGAACACTTCCAGCAGAGCTCTCTGCTGGAATCCTGACAAGAGCTGTCCATTCCGATGGCTGTGCTGTGGGACCCACTGAGGGTACTCATTGCCCCTAGAACCCAGTACAGTTTCCTACATTACATTCATGTCCTCCAACAGACTGTGCTCGCAGACTGCAGGGGACCGGTCTGTGCCTCATGCCTTCGCCACGTCTCCATCACGTCTGGTGCACGGCAGCCTATGCTCAGACGTGACGGCCCACACTTCCCTGCATCGGAAGCACCCTCACCTCTGTTCTTACCAGCACTCCTTTTAAAGCATCTGTGAGAGCAGAGTGAGCACACTTGCTGATATCACTTAATATGCTTTCCTTAAATACTGTCAACTTGGCATATTGATATTTATCGATAGTATTCTCCTTTTTTCAGAAGCATTCAAAATGCTGTGGATAATACAAGAAAGGGCTGAGGTTAACAGGCCCTTGTTCTCCATCAACAAATGCCAAGGCTAAGGATTCGTGGAGCTGCTGGGAGCAAGGGGCAGGGCGGGCCCGGAAGGCTCTCCCCAGTCGTCACCCAGCACGGCACAGGGCTGCCACGTTCTTTGCCTTAACACTTCAACTTAGAAACACAGAAGTGTATTGTAGGAAGCTAGAAAGTATACTTAAGCCAAAAAAGAAAAAAAGCCCATACTTTTCAAAGTTTCTTGTTTTAAAAGTATTTTTAATTAAATCGATGAGATCACTGACAGTGGTAACCATTTATTGAATATTTACTATGTGTTCAGCTCTATGCTCAGCGTTTTACATATGCAGAGAAAACAAAATAATGTTAAAGACATGGAAGGCAGACATTATCTCCACTTTACAGGTCAGGAAGCCAAAGCTCCAAGTTCAGCAGCCGGCCCAAGGTCACAGGGTAGGTCAGAGAGTCAGAGTTAAAAACCTTTGTATTCGCGACCCACGCTCCTGTCTCCCATCTCATGCTTCCTGCTCTCTGTTGATACCTAAATGTCACGAATAATGCCAAAATGTATTTAAATATTTCTAGTTTTTAAAATACACGATAGAGTAGACTGAATGTGCTTTTCAACACGAGCTGAAGTTTCAGAATATTTTGAAAAACTGGCAGAAATTTTTAGGAAGAAATTTCATCTAAATTTGCTGCCCTCAAAGGCAAACATTTCAGCTCTCCTTACTTATGCCCAGGTTTGATGATTTACACCAGAAACTTTCTTCCTTAAACTCTAGGACAGATATCAAATGCTTTGATGATGTCTATTATAAAAATTGTATTGTTAAGTCTTATCTTTGAAACTACCTAATTTGAAGCACTTAGCTGATCAAACTTTAATTAAATGGCATCTTAATTAATTTGAACCAAGACCCCATCTATATACTGCTTCGATGCTTTGAAACAAATGTCACAAGGCCTAAGAGTGATTAATTCTCACAAAGCTAGTCAAGTCCAACCCCATACTCCTTGCCCTTGAAGAAGAACTTTCTAGAAGCTTACTTGTCTATAGAAGCAACTATATATCCTGTAGAACACCACATCATTTTGAGTTATATGAACTGCAAAAAATGTACCGGAAGTGCTATTCAGAATTCAGAACTTTGGTTTCTATGCCGCACGCTGGCAGCAAGCCCTACATGGTCACCAAACTCAGAGAGACCCAAGGGACACCCTAGTCCTTCAGGTCAACCTGGGAGGAAATCTCATGTCTTAGGAGAACCGGGGTAAGCCTTTGAGGTTAGAAGCCAGCTGGCTAATTTCTTTGTCTTCAAGAACAGCCAGCGCTTTGACAGGGTCTGTTCAGGAGACACACTGGGCTTCTGAGAAGCTTTTCCAGGCCCCTATGGGCTCCTACGAGGTAGAGCACAGGAACTGGCATTCACGTAATTGGTTCAAGTTTCACTGGTTTGTCTGCTTGCTCATGTTCATTTTTGTTTGCTGAAAACTGAAAACCAGCTACTTAGACCCTGTTAACACTGAGAATGTCCCACACTTGAAGGTTAGCTGGCACCGTCCAATCAGTAACTCTGCAGACCCCACAGGGCCTCCCAGGTGCATGCTGGGATGTGCTCTGTGCAAATGCCCCCACTTGCTCAAATATTTTCCCACACAGCATACATCAGTTCTCACAGAATCTTACCATACAGTTCATAGCAAAGTGGTTGTGCTGTGTCTGAAGCTCCATTGCATGAGGGTGGCTGGTCCCAATCTCTGTGTAGCTGTTCAGAAACAGGCCCTTGTTGTGTGTGATCCAGTCAAACATCTACCGGAACAAAAAAGACAACCTGGAATCACTCCAGAAAGAGAAACGACTGATGGGAATCCAGGAACAGGGCCAAACGCAAAAAGGCAACATCCTCCCTTTGATAACCCCTCAGACACTTGGGCCCAGGAGATTCTTCACTTCTCAGAAGTCAGTGCAGTCCTGAACTTTCAGGATCTATAGGAAAATCTTATATAATGGGTTTCTTTGCAGATGAAGAATTAAGGAGCAAAGGTCTTCATATTCCCCAGGCTAATTAAGAACTCAAGTCTTTTGACTTTCAACCCAGCTCCCCTGCTACATTGAGTCATTAACAGGCTACACTGCTCTTCCATTAATGACCTATTAAGGAAAAGTGAGGTTTATGGTCTCCCAGAGGGCTTTCCTAAACCCTTGGATTACAGAAAGCAATTACAAAGACCAAAAGATTGTATTCTTTAATGTAAAAGGTATAAAAGAAACCTGGGAAAATGCAAAATACAAATTTACTGTGAAAATAAAAACGAATTGTGAAAACATGAACAAAGACATCTCTCTTAAGGTTCAACGTAGATGCTACCTGGAAGAGGATGGCAATTACATTGTTTACAAGAAAACATTCGTGGGGAAACAGCCTATCAGATAGCATAGCACTGCAGTGAAGGCTTGAACCAGAAGACCGGAGATGATCACCTGCTTTTCTAGGAATTGAAGACTTTCTAGTGTCTCTGATGAGGCAGTACTTAAACCACAAGGACACTGGCAGATGTGTAAAAAGCTTACCAAATAACAATACCGGGTGGTCACCTTCTAAAAGATCCTTTTATATCAAAGGTTTCTAGTGTAGTTTTTCTTGAATTACTAAACATCCCCCATCCATGAAAAAATTTCAATGAGCTCAACTGAAGAGAGATCAATTCATCCACATTCATGGCTTGCAACACATTCCCATAAATAAGTGCACTGTTTTCAAATGGCTATGAGTGAGCTACCCAGCAACTGACAAGAATTCTCATTGACTGGTTGGTTTGTATGGGGCACAAGAATAAAACATGAGACCATAAACAATTGTTGCCTGTATTTCCCAGAAGCTATTGTTTTTAATGCACTATTCACACTTTTATTTTTAAAAAATATCTGGTGTTCTCTCACTAGCTTTTTATATGTGGAAGGGCAGTTATATGTAATTATTGCTCTCAATTATATAATCCTATACACTTTCACTGTTTTAGTTGAAGGTATCATTCTCACCTCTCTTGCAGGCATTCTAATGCAAGCTGTCAGTAATAATACCCCAAAGTTTCTAAAATAGCACTGCACTGCCCGAAGAGCAACACAGAAAAACAGGTTCGGGGCGCTCTCTGAACTGACACTCACCGCTTCTAACCAATGCCACGGAAGCACCTTCCCCTGCCCCAGCCCTCTCTCTGCACCGTACGGGCCTTGGCCGCTGAGACCTAATGATCCAGGAAGCCTCCCTCCACATCTCATGTTAGCATCCCTCTCCCTCCTCCTTTACCTTCTCAGCATCCTGTTCAAACAGCCTCAGCTGAAAGCACTGGTCCAGCTTCAGTTTCCTCACATGCCACATCTGGTGCAGATGCTGCCGCGTCGAGTGCAGCCTGTCCAACATGGCAGACACCTTGGGTAAGAGGCTCTGCAGGTCTGCGTTGCCTGACCCTGAGTTCTTTTTGGGGAAGCTGTCACTGCTCTGAATCCTCTGGAGCAGCTTCTGTCCCTCTAAATCCAAGTCTTCTATGGGGGCCTTAATCACCTTCTTCTTCAGCTGGGAATGTTCCTCGATCATATTCCGAGCCCCGTCTAAATCCTGAGGCAACTCCTTCTTGGCTAGGATGTCCTGAAGTTCCTCCAGCCGGGACAGCATGTGGGTTGCATTGCTAATGTAATCTTCAAAAGCAACTCTGATTTCAATCCATTCCTCATGGTTGTATTCCAAGCAGCCATCAAACTCGGGAGTTAGCTGAGAAGGATCAACTACTTTGGTAAGGCCTTCTAAAGAGACCATATTTGTCTTAAGAGGAAAAGAAAATATGTATGAGAAGATTAACCAACTCTACACAGTCTTACTACAAAGCAATTAGCAACACTTAGTCACAGATTTTCAAACTTAAAGCAAGTAACTTATTTATAGAAAACATACCATGCCTTGTTCTGGCCTCGTAAAAATAAAGGTAAGTAAAAGAAGCATTATGGTAGAGCTGGTGAAAATAAACCTGTCAAAGCAACTCATCTATACTTAGAATCATATGTATTTCATGAGTGCTAAAGAAATTTGATTTCTTTCCAATAATGTGGAAATTAACCCACTATCTTAGGCACACTGACCATGAAATGTGTTAAAACTGCCAAGTACAGGGCAAATGATTCAGAAACCTCACTTTTGTCAACACGGACTTCCTTATCCATGCCACTCTGCTGTCTCATTCCCAAGAGAGAACTATGTCGAGGCTTCTTGCTATTTGCAATCAAGCTAATGTCTTGTTCGTGGGCTTCAAAAACCCTTTGGAGCACACCGACTCCCACGAAGGATACTTATTTGCAGACTGCTTATTAGGTGGCTGGTCAACGCTGCTGTGACCGAACCACCCTCATCGTTTGTGTTTCCTAAACTCTGCTGCATCAAGTTAACAGATGAGAGGATGTGAATGACTTTTTCCTGATGTAGAAAATATACGAGTGTCAGCAAAAAAGCTGGCAGCAGTTCTTTTCGCAATGGGGAAGACGGAACAGTTCATTCACTGCAATAATCCACCACGATTCTGAGCAGTACAAGTGGTGTGCGTAATCTGCACCAGGTGACAAAGTTTTAGACGATTACAACCCAAGAGGAAATTTTAAACTCATCCTACTACCTGTCAGGTGTGCTGCAGGATTATTATAGAATTATGCCTCAAGGAAAGTATGAGGAGTCTGGTGATTAAATGCACAAAGGCAAAGAAAGAAGATTTGTGGCCTAGACTCAAAAGACAAAAGACAGTATAGCCCCGCCTGTCACCTCCAGCCTTGGAGAAACCTACAGCTGCATCTCTGTGCTGTTTGGCATTAATAAACCACAAAGGGCAGGAGAGCTAGAAAGAGGGGCTGTTTCTGATAGAGGATCGACTGTGAGTTCATTCCTTTCTCATTTGCCTGGACTTTTAATAAAGTCCACGGGGACAAACAAGTTCAGTAGAAAAACCAGCACAGACAACCTTAAAGCCCAGAGGGAGAGAACAAATTTAAACTAACAAAAACTTGCATGCATTATTTTGCCAAACCATTCTTCTTGCTTAAAACATGTGTAATTAAATACACCGCACTTTAAATTCTGCATCAAGAAAATTGTAGGACCCAATAAATCATTTCTAAATCATTTGGCCCTCCAAAATCATTTCTAATTGTATATGAAGATAAAGGCTTGTTGGTTCCAGGTTCCACCTAAATCTCTTGAATGTAGTTTCAAGTCGAAATTAAATTCAGATTTCAGGTTGAAAATCAGTACCATGGAAAGAGTTTTTAAAATGCAGGTAACATGTATGTGAAAACACTTTGAAAAGTGTAACATGTAACATAAAGCCTGAGGACTAAAACTGCGTGAGGCGGTTAATGCTATTAGTGCTGTTGAAGGGGACCAAAGTCTTGCCACAACAAAATATGCCTTTTGGGCCCTGGCTGGTGTAGCTCAGTGGATTGAGCATGGACCTGCAAACCAAACAACCGTGGTTCGATTCCCAGTCAGGGCACACGCCTGGGTTGCAGGCCAGTTTCCCATGGGGGACACACCAGAGGCAACCATACACTGATGTTTCTCTCCCTCTCTCCTTCCTTCCCCTCTAAAAATAAATAAATAAAATCTTTAAAAATATATGTGTTTTGGGATACTGATTTTTAGCTGGTTATTAAGATACAATAGACTCAGAAAGAACCTTTGACCCTTAAGGAGTACAAATAGGAAAAAAACCAACGAAGAGAACATCACCTTTGCATCATGATATAAACTAAAACTCTGTACCCCACTGTTTCTGGGTGGCCCAGCAAGGATTTGTTTATTACGAGTTTGCTCTTCATCATCTACCTGTGAATTTCCTGCTTTCCCTTTGAAATCCCTCCTTTCTCCTTTGTCCAAAATGGCCCATAAACCTCAACTGCCCAGTGGGCCCTCGGTCTCAGATTCTTGCGGTGCTCCTGTACGGACGTCTGAGATAGATTTTGAACGTTTTCTGTTACTCTGTCTCCTGGTAATCTGGTTATTAGATCAGCCAGAAAACTTAGATGGTGAAAGAAAAATTACTTTTTTGCACCCCCACACTGTTTAGCTTAAAATACATGAATATATTCAATGAACCCTTAGGTTTGGGAAAGTTGCTAGAAGAAGCGAAAGCAATCTATTATTATAATTATTAGAAAACATCCAAACTGTATTACAGAATACGGCATGAATCCAGTCTCACACTGGCTACAAAACTTTTTCCCACATTATCTTCTCATTAAATAAACTAACTGCATCACAGCCTTGCCAGAACCTGAGTAGCTTAAGGAGAGGTTGGGGTGAAAAGACAAGTAAGTTAACTGGTCGAAGTTCATTTTGCACACTGTCTGCAAGGCAGCGACCTTACCTACCACCCAAAACCAAGAGAAGCGAAATTAAACCCACCTTGGGTAAAATGACCCACTCGGATAATACAGTAAATGAACCTAATTTTGTTATTTCATGCACAAGCTAATTTTACATATGTAGATAACATACACAGTTCCCATTTAATATAGGGTTTAAAAAAACATTATTAGCCTAAATGAGGAGGAAAGGTCATTTTTCAATAAACCACATGTATGGTTGTAGTTGGTCTGGCCACACACGGAAGTTACCTCAAATTCAAATTTAGAACTGCCAAAGTTGGTCCTCTGTTTCTGCCAAAAGTTGTCTGGCTTGATGATCAGTGCCACGTGGATGCAGCAGGGAAAGGACTCCTGCAGGATCTTCAGCAGGGGCTTGATGGAGTCCCACTTGGACCCACGCATGTCCACAATCACCGTGAAGCCTCGCTTGCAGACTTCTTCACTGGAGAAAAAGAAAACACACGTTTAAGCCACACGACTCTTCCCTGTCTTCTGGGCGGAGTCCCACTCGAGGGTGACTCTGCTTGTGTCCTCCTGATGTCTGTGGGTCACTGTCAGGTGAGGAATGAAAAGGAAGGGGTGCCCCCCTGACCCCTGGCTCCACAGCCTGGCTGCAGGTCAGCACTGTGGAGAGCAGGGTGGGATGTGGAAGGGCACTGGAAATCAATTCAGGAAGAGTTCAGACCTTACCTGCGGAACCAAACTCTTTATCACCCTCTCTTGTCATGAAAAAATAGCCATGGCTATTCATTTGTGCACCTGAGAACAATGATGACTTGAAACAGGGTTCAACGCTGAAAACATTCAAAACTTCATTTTGTATGTATGGTTTTGCAGCCTGTCTCTTTAGGAGAAAAACAACTCATGTGTAAACTGATCACACACACTGCCTAGCACCTACTACAGCAAAGGTCCTCAGTGAGCACTAAATGAGGCCAGACCTGCCAGCGTGCACAGCACCCAGGTTGGGTGTCACAGCCCTGGGAACGGCAGTCACCCATAGTCTCCAGCCACAAGTGCTACACCACCCCCACCAATGTGTTGGCGGCAAAGGCGGGAACTTTCTGATGTCCCTTTTTGTCCCTTTCAACCTCACCCAGGACACTGGGCTATCTCAGAGGTTCTCCAGTGTGGCCCACTGGTCACTGGGGGTCTTTGGCACACTTCTGGCAGAACTGTGGGGTCAGCCTATTTCCACAGTAACACTGAGATTACTGGCCTTTTCACCCGGTTGCACTGATGTTGTAAAGGCAGTGGCAGGAGCTCTGCTGGCCCTTAGCAGGGATCACGGCAGTGCAAGAAGCCATTGTATCCTTCCTCTCCACGCTGTTACGGAGTGAGCAAATGAACCAAAAAGCCAGGGTTTTTTTAGGGTGACCTTGACGAAGCAATACAAATTACTAATTTTATTAAATCTCAACCCGACTACATGGTAAATACATATAATGCGCTTCTGTAATAAAGAATAAACAACAGGCACCAAAGAATCCTAAAAGAGACGCAAAAGCTTTATCCTCACTTGCTTGTACCTTCAGGGTGACACAGCCTTGCACTTAAGGAACAGCCTCATCCTCACCGCCACGTAGTAGGCACGCAGTGCGCAGAGGCTGCTGATGCTGGAGCAGGCGTGACCGGGTGATGGCTGCCTGCAAGCGCTTCAGAAATACACCTGAGGCCTCATGGGCACCCACGGGGAGTCTGAGGTTCTCACCCAACATAAATGCAGTGGGACCGCGGGAAAGGTGTGTGGCATTCTGTCTGCCTCGTGTAATCACCTGAGAAATCAGTCTAAATTAAAAACTCAGAAAGCTAATTGCTATCATTAAGTGATATGAAAAAGCCAAAAAAAATTAAGTCAAAATTAAAACCAATTTCATGCTCTCGTGCATGAGTTCGCTGCTCTTCCCTCTCCGTCCCCTTTCCCCAAACACGAGTGCACACACACCCTCTCATGCACGCTTCTCCTTACCCTGATTCACACCCTCAGTCACTGACATCGCAGGTTTCACAGATATCAAAGTTCCTCAGACAACTACATCGGTGCCAGAAGCTGTCACAGGAATGTTCTGGAAAAGCCCGTGGGGACAGAGCCTGAGTGGACGGACGGTGGCTCTCAACCTGAGGCACATGGTGTTGAAAGCCACACAGAGAAAGTGGGTGGGCACAGCGGCCGAGCTCCTCAGTCACATGTGGACAACTGCCCGCAGGAATGAGCTGATTAACGTCAGTCGCCTGCTCCTACGGGACTAGGAACTGGACAGGAGTTAACACTCGGCTCGCACACTCCTCATGCTACACCCCCTCAGGGTCTCCCATAGGTCCTGCCTGGCCCACAAGCCGGCCAACACCAAAGGCCTCCTTCACAAATCCTAGAGGCAAAGAGGGTTTCCAAAAACATCTGAAAATCTCCCACGGCACTGAAATTAAGGATTCTGGACCTCCCTGGGGTCTAACGGTGTTTGCACAGTTGCACGACTCCATTTGGTAGAAATGTCAGGCCTCCGAGGCGGGGGCAAGGTTGGCCCTCCCCACCCAGGCTCCCAGACTCTGCGGCCACACAATGGTGGGGCACTACGAGTAGGTGTGTTTTATCGTTGTATTAGCTGCTGTTCGGTCGACTGCACTTTAAACATCAGTCTTCACCATATCGAGACAAATTCTCGGGCAGCCTGTCTTCCTCCTCACACAGCCAACACAGTGTGTACATAAAACTACAAAGCCTCTCCACTTGAAAGGGGCTTAAAAAGAATCCTGAGTAACTCCAGTCCTAACGACAGGAACAAGCCGGAGAAGGACACAGCTAAAAGGTACCCTGAGCTTGCACAGTTTACAGAAGGATTAACTATTCGCCTTCCTCCACAATCAAACTGTTATTAGCACCCAGTGACTTCCCAAGAAATGAAAACTGCACACGCACTGGGCTGGGCGTACACACCGTTTCGATCGCTCCGTCTTTACCAAGCCCAAGCCCGTCATGGTCAGGAAACCTTCCCAAACCCAGTTCTGCTCACGAGCAGCTACGGAACATGCGCAGCTGGCCGCAGGCGATGGGGCTGTGGGCTACAGCTACTCCTCCACCATAAACACGAACAAGTGCACTGGAAAGCATGACTCAAGAAGCAGTATGGTTGGCAGTTTTGTCAAAGAGCCTCGGTTTATCTATGGGATACAGAAAATTTAGGTAAAATTGAGGTGCCTTCTCAACACAGGTCTCTAAAAGAGAAACTCTTTCTTTACTTCCTAGAAAGTCCATTCTTACATGAAAGTTCATAGATGCATCCATGAAAAATCTCCCCACCGTTTCATTAGTGACCGAAGGGAGTCAGAGCAGTCTGTCCATGTGGCCACTACAAACCATCTGAATGCTCTAGAACACAGTAAGAACAATAAACACCTGGAGGAGAACCAAGACCACCGCTGTCTTCCTCGCTGTGTGGGAATCCCCATTACACCCTCAGGAAGTTCAGCCACGACGCGATTCTCCTGCGCACGTTCAATAGAAAGTTTCCTTGCAGGTGAATCCCACGAGGGTCACTTTACTGCTCCTTTTTTTAAAGGAGGGGCAGGGGAACGGAAGGTGACCCAAGTAATAAACCCCAATGACTCACCCCTCTCAGATCACTGTATGTGGAACCCCAGGGCCGCGTTCTAAGAGGCACAGCCTAGAGGCCACGCAGAAGAAACTCAAGGTGACCTGGCTCGCGCACACGTCAAAAGGAGAGTAACCAAAGGAAGGGAGGAAGGAAAAGAGAAAGATGGAAATTATTATGCTAATTCTGAGGCAGCTACTGTACCCGAGGCACTGCGCTGGGTGTGCAGGTAAACCTTCTTACTCAACACTCACAATGATCCAAAGAAGTGCGGATTAGCATCACGGTTTGTAGATCAGAAAGCAGATAAAAGTAATTAAGTAGCTCGTGCCAGGTCACAGTCAGTGGCACTTTACCCATGCTTTCCTGGATGGCACACTTCTCCGAGTTCAGGAATGTGGAGGGACTGAGGGACAGCCAGAGGCCACCTTCACGTCACAAAAAAATTTGGGGAGTAACAGACAGGGGAAGAAATCTCACAGACCCTTAGGGCTGTTGACGCCACGCTGAGGGTACAGGCAGACCCACAAGTCCAAAGAAATTCACACACCATTAATTTTCTGACGACTTTCATCAATCCTGTTGTTTGGCTAACACAAAGCAGTGCTCACTAGTCTCGCTAGTTCTTTTGGGGGTCAGTGTGGGGCCACAGAGCGTGGGGTGGACCCAGAGAGAACTTGTTCAGCTGCCACTTCTGTCCACCTGGACCACCGTGAAATCCTCCTCCACCGTCACTTGGCAAACGCATCACTTACATGTTACTCCCACCTGTCTGTCTGCTCATTAACCAAGGACGAGCAAATGGCATCTCTTGTCCCTTGGAACTATAAGTATAAAAGCAAATCTAGGCAATGAAATGAAGTGATTGTGCTTGGTAGTTGGAGGGTCACCCTAAGCACTTAATTGTTTATGAGCAAAAGAACAGAATGTTTGGGATTTGTTACAAAATATTCCACAGGGAAAACTAGAGAAAAACAAGACTGGCCAAAAGTTTGTAACTGTGGATGACAGGTATGTGATGTTTGCTACACTACTCTGTCTACTTCTGTGTATGCTCACAATTTCCCAGTGACAAAGTTTCGTATGTGTGTTTTAGAGTGGGTCAGCCAGGTGATCCAAAACATACCTGAATCAATTTTTTAATAATATTTATACTACTTTGTCTGCTTAGAATTCAGGCTGGAATTTAGCTCTTTCCTGGACAGCACAGTGCCACACCTTAGAACAGTGAAAACCCCAAACCACCAGAATTTAATGTGAATGAAATGAAAAGTAACTTTTTACATTCACAATCAAAACAGATTTCGAAACTAGAAAGCAACTTGCCAGAGTTACACACAGCAATTCAATCATGTAATGTAAAAAATCCCCTGGATGGTACCGAATTCAACGTGTTTTCCACCCCACCAGATGACAACTACTTTGCCAGGTGAGAACTTCTTTGACACTGCCCGTGTAGCGCTCTGCTTCTCTTTCCACCAGGCACAGCTCCTGGCACCTCAGAACTCAGTAAGTGGCGGCTCTCAACTACACTGTTACTCAGCAGGGATAGTGAGTCACACGTAACTCCCAAAATTCTTTCTAGCTCTTTGATTTTGACAGTTCAGCAGTCCAAGAAAACACCAGAGGAAGAAGGGAAAACATTTTCTGCGTGTGTGAATGAGTGCTATCCCTTTGTCACTGATGACACCCAGTGAAAGTTCTCCCACGAAGGATGCCCACACAGAAAACCCAGACGGTCTGCTGCATCTGCCAAAGCAGGGATGGGTCACGAACGGGCACAGCCGTCCTCCCCGGTGGTGTCACAGACCCTGTGATGGGGAGGATCTGGTTCACTTACCTCAGCCTTCAGAACCTATGAGGTTGCTATTGATCATCTTTTATTAAACACTCTCTTGCGTAATACGTTCCTTAAAGTTACTATATACTCTAGCCGCTACTATGACTGAGTTTTGTTTATTTTTTTCTATGTCCTAATTTAGTTGCTTAGGAAATGCCATCCTTTAGCATATGCCTTTCTGGAATGAAGATTTCCTTTTCTTCAGAGGGAAGCATCTCTCGAAATTTCAGCACACAACGGTCTCTTGTTTCAGGTGTGGCCATATTCCTGGATGATATCCCAGTAGTATTCTATTTCCCCAAAAGTAGTCTGAACGATGAAAAGGGGATATTAGCATGGGGGGGCTTTCTCTCCCTGGTCATCCTCTAGCAGTGCGGTAAGTAAAACCTCATTAGGGCGAAAACAAATACTCTGAACTCCTCACACGCACACTCAGGCCAGTTCCTATGCACTGTTCCTCCCTTCAGGGCTCTGCAGAAAACAAGGCTTTGCCCATTCTTGGTGTTCTTTCTCAACCAGACTCCCCGATTATCTCCCTGACTATCACCAGTGGTCTCTCAGATTGGAGGGGGCTCCCAGGCTTGGTGTCCTGTTAGTTGGGAAGGATTTTTCACCCCCCACAAACTTCAAGCTACAGACCAATGGCATCCTTGTCAGGAGCCACAGCTCGGGAGGAAACAGAGGCTCAGTGTCACAAACAGCGCTCTCTGGCTCCCGGGGCCCGTGTCCGGTCTCGGAGTCGCCAACCGCACTCTCCTTCACTTCTGCCCGGGCTCCCCCTGGGCCCCCCCATCCCAACACCCTGCCTGTGCGCATCCCGGCCCACCTTCTCACACGCAGCTCTCCGCTCAAAACACGTCCCTTCTCGTCCCGCCCCCCAGAATTGCTGCAAGCATGACAGAACGGTCACTGAGTGGAAACAAGCAGACAGATTGTGACTTTAATTTTGTACTACTTTGACTGGTTGGAACAGAGGTGGGGTTCAGTTGTTTTCTAGAGAGCACGGTGCCACACCTTAGAAGAGTCAAAACAGTGAAAACAGTGAGAAGCCCCGGCCCACCCAGAACTTACCTAGGGATACAGGCCAGGTAGGAAATGAGTCTCCTGAGATCCTCCTGCCGTATTCTGTCATGATTGCTGCGGGCTGGAAAGGTTAAAATGGGACCCCCACGTTTATCTCTGCCACCTGAAAAACAAACATTTGGCATATATATGAATCCAATTAACTGTGGCATTAAATGAGAACAGCACTAAATCAGAGCCACCAGCGCCGCGTCTGTGCACAGTACCCAGCGGTTGACACACGCGTCTGATTGGATCACAACGACCCTGTTGAGAGGTTGTATCCTTCCGGCTGTGTAACTAAAGATCTGGAAGGTCGAAGAGCTTCAATAACGACAAAGGGACGTTGTCAGCATGGTCACAGCCAGGCCCCCTTTGCCCTGACAAGAACTCATATAACTTTCCAAACTAATGGCTCTGGTTCTTTCTGAAGTAGTAGAAATGTCGAGAGGACACTGAACGATGGGCTCCTCGGCCTTGGCTATGAATGGAATGTGCCTCTGACAGTGGGAGGCGGCGGCACGTTACCATGGACAGAACGGCATCACCAGGCATCACCAGGCAACCGTCTGAAACGTCTCACGGTGCTTTCAGGTGGCATCGACGGCTCCAGTTTCCTAGAACACCTCTTGTCTCCAACGTAAGATGGGAAACAATTTTCATGTTTTTATTCCCTACATCTTTCATTCTTCTCAAACAGGAATCAATATTCTCAGTTAAAAACATTACAGCTCAACACGTATTATAGAAGCTTGACTCTTAGTATGGTATTTAGATTAAAACATTCACCTGTTCTTGGTAAAGAGAATCATATCTAATGTTTTCCCAAACTACCTTTCTGAATTTTTCAAACGCAACATAATGCTTGACCAGGAGGGAGACGAAATGCCAAGGACCTCTGTCCAGCCCTCCTCTCTGGGACCGTCTCCCCTGACACAAGCAAGGCAGGGTTTACCACGGCATGAAAAGCAGCTTCCAAACTCTGCCCATCCAGAGAGTCACGTGGGGAGTGGACAGGTGCGCCACTGCGCACGGCCATCCTGGTCACACCCAGGTCACTCCAAGGTGCGAACTAAATGTAAGTGTGGGTGGGAGCACTGACTGCTTTCCCTAGACCGCTTCACCTTTCAACTAAGACTTTTCCCAACCTGGCAGCACTAGCGAGGGGCCCCAAGACCTACCAGCAAGCTCTCCCCCCAAACAGGCTGCCATTCATGCCCACAAAAAAGCGTATTTGAACCCAAACTTGAATTTCAAAATAGAGGGGGGGGGGTTCAATTTGTGTTTCTTTTTCCCCAGCATGGAGCTTCAGAAAACTCCCTAGGGTAGTTTTAAAATTTCATCAAAAATCACTTATGATTTTAAATACTGAAATAAAATTTGCATAGTCTCTGTTTAATTAATTTAAAAATTTGTTTTCACTTTCGATCTTCCCTGCACTGGGGTGTATCTTCCAATCTGTGGCGCGTCACAGTCGGAGACAGGCAGGTGCCAAAACCACCCATCTGCTGACCCCTCCCAGCGAGGTTAAAAATAAACACATTAGAATTAATGAAATGCAGTATCAGTTCAGAGGTTCCCGGTGTCTGAGCCTCAAGGAGCTTCAAAGCAATGCCACAGGAGTCTGTTTAGATTACAGGCACTGAGATTTAACCTGTTTGCAAATACCACCGAAGGCACCCAGTGGAAAATACTGTCTGGGTTATAAAGCAGAAATGTTACAACTTCCAAGTTCTCATTCCTAAACTAATAAATAATTACAACAATGCTGTACCTTATAAAACCACCATCTACTAAGATATACTAATATGTGTCTGATGTCAACCCGCAGCCTCATGGTAAGGCAGGCGGGACAGATGTCAGTCCCATTTCATAGACAGGAAACTCAGCACCTTAGTGTGGACAATAAAAAGAAAAGGGCAGGAAACCCATTTCCTGCACCTACGGACGTCACAGGAAATCCAGTCAGGAGAGTTTTACAGCCTCTGGACCTCTCTCCCCAAGTCCGAAATCAAAACCCAACAGCTCATGAGGGATTATCTGCCTATCCAAATGCGTTTTAGTCAAAAAACAAAAGAACACAAAAAGGACATTGTTTTATCTTCAGGTCTTAGAAAAACCACATCCTCTCTGCTCTTTGTCTCCCCATTATTTCTGCAAGGCACCCCTTGCCTTCCAGTCATAACTTACACATTCTTTGCGTCTGTCTGTCCCCCAACAAGAATGGAAGCCTACGGAGGCCGGCATCTCCGCTCACCGACGACACCAGTGTGCACTCACCCCCAGTGCTTAGTGAGAGACGGACGGGCACTAAAGGATGCTCAGTAAGCGTCTGCTCCACGAGTGGGTTCTTCTTCTACATGCCACTCCAAGTTCATTAAAAATACAACGGCACCTCGGTACTCGTCGTTAATTCATTCCCGAACTCCAAAGCCGCCACGTACCCAGAGATGAAGCGTTTTCCCTCATAGGACGTTGTGACTCACACAAGTTCTAGCAGGGGCGACGAGTCCCGAGCAAGCGCCAAGTGCTGACACATTTTTTTTCTGGTCAAAATGCAACGAGTACAGGGTTTGACAAGGTCTGACGCTGACGAGTACAGAGGTGTGACTGCACCTACCACTGTGTGTCAGGAAGTTAAAGAGGGAAATGAAACGCCTGAATGTTTTTACAGGAAGAAACACGGATGCTAAATCAACTGGGGTTTCCGCTACCACCAGAAGGAAGGCTGGAAAGGCCCCAGCTACCAATGTCTGTGTGATGGTTACTCCCTGAAACCCAGTGACATGCGTTTCCCTCTTCTGAAAGGCAAAAAAAACTCCAGGGAACTCAGTCTCTCGAGCAGTACGGCCCGAATGACCAGAGGCAGCTAGATTCAGAGTTGCCCCTTTATCTCTAAATAAATTAAGAACTCACCTTTCACCCCATGAGAATGGACTTCCCTTGGAAGACACACTTAGATGGAGAAGCACAACGCAAATTTTAATGAACCCACTGGATTTTCCTCTGTAATGGCCTTACTTGAATTTCTGGATTAGAATGCCATTGAAAACCACTCTTCACGCCTCCCCGAGGAACAGTCTAACTCAGGGCTGTGAAAAGCTCTGAAAAGATGTGGTTTATAAGAGAAAAATTATGGCCACAGTCTCTAAGTCTATTAGGCAACGAAGCTCTGTTAAAAGGGTGTCCACGGGTCCCCTGATCCGAGAGCTAAAGCCGACGGCTCCCCAGCCCGACCTTCACTGGTCCGCCTCTTCCTGCCTGGTCCTGAGAACCAGGAACTGGCTTACAGACTGTTTCTCATGAAGACTCTAAGGGGTCTCCGGACTTCTGGGAAGGCCTCGGTGGCACCTGGCCTCCCAGCCAGCCACTAAGGACTCCGGCTGTACTAGGCGCTAACAAGAACATACAAGGTGGAGGGAAGAGACCCCCCTTCCTTCCCATGAAGTACAGAGCTGTGCAAATCGGCAGCAAGAGGAATTAATAAGGTCACTAGTCACATTACTGACAGCAAACTTCTGGGCAATCAAATCCCACCTTCCTGTCAATACCTCCACTTGCAAAGGTGAATATTCACCTTGCCCCACCCCCAAAAAAAACTAATCTAAAAAAGTAACCCAAAGCCCACCCACAGGCAAGTGGCTGAGTGAACGGCTGAGCACATGCACACAGTGCAGTCACATGCGACCGTGAAGGAAATGAGACCTCTCTATACGCACTGCTCTCTCTGGACCACTGTTCAAAGGGAAACAAGAGAGGTGCAGAAAACAGTGCATCGATGACTGTTTCTCTAAGGGGAGGGGAATGAGATGGGATGAATGGGTAGACAGAGAGAATGCTCTTGTTTTAAAAGTGTAGGAAATAAATCAAAAACTAAATAAAACAAAAGATAAAATGTTTCCTACGGGGGAGGGAAGGTACAGGGTGAAAGAGGTAAAGAGGGAAACTAAATTTAACTACTTTTTATCTTTAACATTTTTTAGCTCTTTACCTTGGAGTGATGTACTCATTGTACTTAACGTTGAAGCCAGATTAAGTGGTTGTTTTTTTTTTAAGCCTTAAAAACATAAAGTAAAATGAAACAAATGCCCCTGAGTTTCAAGGTGGAAGGGACTTGATCCACACAGAGAGGAACTATTTTATGTGACTTTAAAATGCAGAAACAGGACAGCACATTGCTGGTGGCACATGCTCCCGGGACAACAGAAGTTACAACAGAACAACAGAAGTCGCACTGTGGCGGTAGCATCACTATTACAGTGCAAATGAGCAATTATGTCGATGAGGGCAAGAGCTGAGACTTTTAGCATAAAGGAAAGGAGATATAAGTCCATAATCAAAGAAAAGTAAAATATCTGTAATCCTAATTGTAAGCTGGAAATTTTCATATGGAGTTATGACATCTTAACTCACTGGGGAAAATGTCTCTGTGTGTGTATATGTAAATATAAACGTGTGTGTGTATTATGTATATATACACACACACACACATACACACACACACACATATGCATATACATATTCCCCAGATGTGCCCACTGAGAGACACAGACACAACCACCACTCCAGGAGCAGCGGGCTTCCTGGCTCCCGCGGAGGAACCAGGGGCTTTAGGAAAACAGCGGGCAGCACCAGTGCAGCAGGACAGGGACAAACTGGGCAGGAACCACTTGGCTACAGCAGCAAAGAGAGAAGGTGCATCACTGTGGCACATGGCTGGGCTCAGGAGCCAATCTAAAGAGGCTCCCACTGTCTAAAGACGGGAAAATGTTAACTTCATGAACAGAGAAAAGAATTGACAGTGAATTAAAACACATCAAATATATTTAAAATCATGAGCTCAAAAGGATGTTTAAAAAGGCTTCAAATTTTTTTCTACTCGTCTAAAATGTCTAATGGTCATTTTTCATAAATCTGAACACTGGTAAATGACAAGAAGCAATCACTTATACTGCTTTTCCATATGAACTATGTTCTCAGGGCAGCAAGAAAGTTTGGGGCATCTCTATGGAATATTCAAGTTGATGAATGAAGAAGAAAGGGGGTGGATAGGGCAGGGGAGAGTAATGGGGGCGAAATGGGGACAACTATAATTGAACAATGATAAAATAATTTTAAAAAAGAATGTCAGCTTTTTGCAACCCTAGTAAAATACCAGATCTAAGCAATGATCCTCAATAAATGCTTAACCAGACTCTTCTAATAAAACTCCCAGGAGAACTACCCAATACCAGCCATGAAGGATCTTTGCCTCCTTCTCTGCAAAACCTAAGCTAAGTCTAATCAAGCCTCAGGATTTAGCTCCTAGTTTTATAAGAAATACAGGGAAATGGGAACATGCTATATGACCACCCAGGGATGCAACCAGCAAAATCTAAAACATAGAAAAATCTCCAGGAAAACACCTGGTTTCCTCACATAATAAACATAAAGGGGTAAGACAAAAATAATAAGGAGAAAGAACCTATGAGTTAAAAAAAGACATCAGACATATCAACTAATATGTCTGCAATATGTAGCCTATAAAAACCACACTGTACAGCAAGCAGGGAAATTTAAATATTAATTGGCTTTTTATATTTAAAATCACTACTTATTTTTAGGTCTGTTAATGGAAGTGTGGGGTTTTTTAACTTATCTTTTAGACAATTAAATGTTTACAAATATAATGATATAATATCTGTAATTTACTTTAAAATCACCCACAGTGAAGGGAGGGGAGGAGGGGACAGGAACACAGGTGAAGCAAGGTCACTGATGCTCACTGATGCTCACTGCATCCTCTCCCGTGCAGGATGTTGGAACGCCCCAGGCACGATAAAGCTGGCGGACGGTAGTGTTCTTAATTCTGGTAGCTGTCTGTGAGTTCGTTTAAGGCCGAAACCCTAGTGGTACAGGAATCGCATGTCATGGTTGGAATCCCTACATAGGATGTCATATAGAATAGATATGGATGAGTATATATGTGTATATGTACACTTATGACATCAAATACATAATATATGCTACATTAATTATACATTCTATAAATACATATAATGCACTGAGTATATATACAATAAACATACAGGGTACGCACTATCAGGTAGAAACTACAGGCCACCTCTTTCAGTACCCTCCTCCGACTTCAAGCATGAATTCAGGCATGTCATCTAATCTCATTTAACACTACTCTCTGAACGAAGAAAGTAGTATTTTGCTCTCTTACTTCAGTGTCATGAGGATTACGTTTCACAGTGCCTGGAGATGAGACGGAGGGTCAGAAATATTTGTGTATAAGGAATCCTCACTGGGGTTTTTTAGATCATGACCTAATAAGTAACTCATGGAATCACTGACCTCTTGGCCTGCTTTTTGGAAAGCCCTGGCTATTCCAAAAAGCCAGTCACACAGAGAGCTTTTACAAAGGTACCATAATATCCCCTAATATTTAAAAAATGGGGTCTTAGCAGAAAAATAAGCAATTGCCAGCACTGGGGGTGGGGGAGGGGGTGGGGGCTGGGAATGGCAAACTGGGCATGGGGTTCTTTGGGGGTGAGTAGAAATGTTCCGGAATTAGACTGTGATGATTGCACAACCCAGTAAATACACTAAAATTCACTGAATTGCACACTATAAAAAGGTGAGTTTTATGTTATGTGAATTACTTCTCAACAACAAAGAAAAAAATGGATTCACGGGTGCAATTTTTAAAATAATCATTTGTTTTTAGTTTCTTGGTATTCTCCCTCTCCCCTTACTAAACGAGGTAACGGTGAGCCTAAAGCAACCTGCAGGGAGCTCGAGCTACCGCAGCTGCCAAACCTGGTCACAGAGCACAGCGGACGACACTACACAACCGGGCGGCACCTTTACCGACTGCGCCTCGTTAACACCCATCCTGACAGTCCTTCCACTGTGACACAGTTCCACTTCGGTCCTTTGCAACCCAAAACTTCCCTCCCCACTGAAGACACCCAGCTTTAATGAACCCTACAGAATTTAAGGCTTTAGCAAAGATTCCTGATGTAACTCTAAACGATTAATCATTTCATTTCTTTAATTCATTAGAAGGGAAATAGTTTTAGTTTTGACAGAAATTTAGGTAAAATGCCACCTAATAATGTGTTCTATATTAAATATCTAACAAAGTAATGAACACAAATAAAAATCGCCCTGGCTGGCATAGCTCAGTGGATTGAGCGTGGGCCTGCAAACCACAGGATCATGGTTCGATTCCCAGTCAGGGCACATGTCTGGGTTGCAGGCCAGTTCCCGGCAGGAGACTCAAGAGAGGCAACCACACATTGATGTTTCTCTCCTTCCCTCCTTCCCTTCCTCTCTAAAGATAAATAACTAAAATCTTTAAAAAAAATCACCTATCCTACCCCTGGCACGGTTTTACATGCCTGTCTCCAGGGACTCAACAAAGACGGCAGTGCAGTAGTAACCGGAGTCCTGGGAACAAAAGAAGGGACAGAAGGAACAAGTGCTCTCACCCAAACCCAAACTTTAAAACAAAAAACTGATGAACTTGTGGGAATCAGGTTTCTTCAAGCCTTTCTTACTGATGCCTCTAATATTCATCAGTAGAGTCTTCATTCTATTAACTGTAAAATCCATCTGTAAACTACAAAGCCCAGAGTTCCCCAAACTGGCCGCAGCCCTTATTATGCAGTGTCAGTAAGTGATCAGAAAACAGCAAAGGCTACTTTGAACACAGTGAATTACAGGCCAAGAGCTGTTTGCTTTTTCACTTTTTGACCACGTGTCCCCATCAATCCAAAGCACCTTCTCCTTTTCACGAACTTTGTATAATCTTCTGTTACCCTTCCCAATGCACTCTGCATTAGAGGTACTTCAACAAAACCATCAACAGTGTCCGATAGGGGCCAAGAAATGCTGCTGATGGAAAAAGCAAGGTAAAAGGAACCAAAACACCACAGGAAGCTGCATCCGAACTGTATGTGAGTCTCACGGACCCAAAGGACACACAAACCACATAAAAGCAGCCAGCAGGATTACAGATTCAAAATAAAACATGCAAGAGGGGACATCAGACCAGTGCATTAGGCTGTTTGAGAAAGATAAACAGTTATGAAGGGAAACACACCCAGAAAGATGGTCTAAAAGCATGTGACCACCTCGAGATTTACTTTCTTGTAAAACAGAGCAGAAAAATCCTGCAAATCTTTGTGTTGTAAACGTGTGCCAAAAAGATGCAGTGCCCAATGGCTATTCTGTTCCTGTAGGAGGGAGCCCCCAAGGACCAACCCCCATGAAGCCCTAAAGCTGACCCTGTATGTGCAGAACGGAGGGCAGTCAAGTGCCCAAAACCTGAAGGACTGGCGCAGACCGTCGCCACGCTGCAGCTGCCCCAAGGACGAGGTAGGTTCTATAGGTAAGTGGAGCACCCGGCTGGCGAAGATCCCCAGGGCTTCCACGATGCACAACAAGAGGGTTGTAGGAACTCCCGGACCAGAGAGGCCATGGCTACATGAGTCTCCTCACCTCCCCAGAGAAAAGGCGACAGGTAGCTACAAAGTTCAAAAAACCAAAGTAAAAAATTCAGGACACACTGTCATATGGTCACATTCCCACCACTTCTGCAGAGATGACCAACTTTCTAACAAGAGCAGTTGTTTCATCTGACTGACTGGGGCAAAGGAGGCACACACCTGCGGCATGACAGACACAGACCTCAGTCACCAGTGGTACCTGACTTACAAAGCACCTGCCAGCTAGAAGAAAATGCTTTGAGCACTAATATCTCAGGAAAATGCTACAAGAATAAAGCAGGTAAAAATCCGCCGAAATATGCAGGCTTCTGTGGCAGGGCGGGTGAGCTAGGTTAGTATTTCAGACTCTGATGCTGTATCAGAAATAGTCAAGGGATCAATAAAGCAGATTAGAAAGTTAAACTTTACCTGAAAGGTATGCAACTTTTTCCTTTAAAATTGGCAAAACATCCATAGCTTTCATTTCATCGTTTTTTCGAAACCCTGAAATACAGAAGAAAATAAAATTATTAGGTTGCTAGAATGATGACGTTTAATTTCTTAACAGTTCTATCCAGTGCCAACACAGCAGCTTTCTTCATACCCATTAAATCATCTCCAGAAATAGCATCGTTTGAAAACATTTGAATTCTGTGAAGCAAAGTCTGATCCCAGAGTGATCGTCCAAAATGTCAAGCGATGATCTGCCCACAGACCCAGAGGCTACTGTACCAAGCAGGCTCTCAGCCATTTCTAAAATTTCAAAATCCAGTCCCCAAAAGACTAGATATAGAATCAGCCTACATCATTTCAAAAATCTTCACTTTAATCTTGTAGATAAATGCAAATCCTGGCAGATACTGCAGCAACATTGCTTTTAAACACTGCTACCTATGGCACGCAAAAACCTCTAGGGGGAGCCCTGTGCCTCATCCTAGCAGACTTCAGTCTTTAAAAATAAACAGTGGCAGGCAGGACAGAAGAGATTATAAATAGCTGGGAACTGGCCACAGCTCCCTGTTGGCCCTGTCCTTCTAGGTTTTCTGGGTCATGCCCCCCTGGAGAAATGTCACTGGCTAATGTGGTAAAATGGCCCAGTACCACCTGCTTCCGAGGGTGGCCAAGGACCTCCCCTCCCTGCAAACTAACTCTCTCCATACCCCGAAATATCTTAGAGGGCCAAGTGGAAATCTTGTGGAAAAGAAGCATGCGGCAGCCAAGCTGAAAGCCATCTAAACAGAATGAATTCTTGCAGCCCAAACACGTCCAGCCAGCTCATCAGGGTGAATGCCCACATGGGAGTTTGAGGTCCAAAATGCTCATACCCATGATAATGCCTCAGGATATTTGTTTTGGAGGTCATCTAGGTTGAGGGGTGCTGGCCATGCTCATCAAACCTAGTCACCATAGTTATTGACAGAGCATGCTCTAGAACAAAATAAAAGACTGTCCCATCCCTATTTTCTTGTTTGTTCTTGCCAAAATAGTATGCGAAAGAAAACATCCCAAATGTAAGCTTGGTAACACACCCTATACAAACACCTAGACCTAGAATGAGAAAGTAAACAAATGGAGATTCCAGTTCAGGTCTGTCTGAGCAGCTCCTATTGGACCAGCCCTGCCACACGCTAAATCCACAAACACAGCTCAGTCGAGGCACTGGAGAGCGACCAAAAGCAGGGAGAGACTTGGGAAAAGGAAATGACATCAGGTGCACTTCCCCTGTTAGGGCTTGAAGCCAGAGGGCAGCGCCCAGGCTAAATCACACGGAACTGCTGAAACCAGAATCAGAGCATGGCTCAGGGCGACCTCAGCAGCTAAAACCGGGAGGAGAAAGCATGGAGAGGGAAAGAGGGAGTCCCAAAATTGGAATACAGACTTGGACCACGTTTCTGGCTCTCCCCCTGAGCCTCACATGTACAGGGCAAGCTCCAAGCAGCTTAAGCTCTGAGCTAAGGATAAGAGATGTGACCACGGTCCGAGCTGTGGCCCACGGCAGAGGAGACGGAGTTTGCAGCCTGCGTCCAGCCAAGTCGGTAGCCTGCTAAAGCAGCAAGCGAACAACAACGAGAGCAGCCCCTCTGGGAGGAATGTAACAGAACCCAATCTCTACAACAATACCATTCACAGAAGCAAAGAATGACAAAATTAATGGTGTGGTGGGATTGCTTTAAAGTAAATCTTTCCTGTCCAGTATACAAGGATGGACAATGGCATCTATGGTCACCAGAGATTCTGCACAACGACGGCAGCAAACAAATCCCAATGAGGACCCTGAGGTCCGGGAGCCTCGGGGGGAACACCTAGCTGGTCAGGAAAGGGCTCGGCACAACCTGCCCCTCCAGGTCACTAGGCCATTTTGCTTTCCAACTCACCATGCCCTGTGCTGGCAACCTACCAAGCTTGTAAAACAGTGGCTATTTATAAAAGGCAAAACAAGAGCCAAGAGGTCTGCAATTTCATCCTTAAGGTTCCTTCAAACCCTCTTGAATGGATGTAATCTAGTTTCAGCAATCCACTGCCAGCCATTGGGTAATTCATTGACTGTGTCTACAAGATTGATTACATCCGATTCCTTCTGAGGTGGACACAAGTGACAGCAGGGCAAATGCAAGAGAAGTCAGGGACCCTCAGGCCTCAAGGAGACGAGCTTTATATACCCATAGAATAAGGCACAGTGTGAGAAGTTCCCTGAGCAGCACAAAGTGCTAGGGGACCCAGGCAAATGTGGAAGCAGACCAAATGGCAGATTCTACAAAGGAGTAAGCCTTACCTGTAGATCCCAATCTATAGGGATTTGCAAAGGATAACCCATCTATTGCTACCGGGTAAGAGAAGGTGTGCTTCTTACCCTTCCCACGCAGCCCACACCCACAGACGCCCTGGTCAGTCACAGCAATGCCCTCTGGAAGCACCACCCCAAACTGAGGTCCTGGCTCCCCTTCAGGTGATTAAGAGAATGTCCTAACCCCCTGCTGGTGCCTCAAAAGAGGACTGTGTTACTTCTAATAATCACAAGTATGACTGACGATCACCACTGACTCTCTGAACCACACCTACATATTAATACCTCCATGGAGTGAATGATGGAAGTTACAGCTGCCGCGTGCCAGGCCACCCCCCAGGAAGAATATCATACTGATGTGAAAAGAAGGTGAAGAAAACAAAACGTAACAATGAAAACTGCAACTCTCCATGTCCTACTATAAGCCACAAATTCACTGCCATGTATCTTCAGTTTCTTAAAACTGGGATTACATTAGTCTATCCCCTGAATTTCTCCCCTAAAAACTCTGTCTTTCTTGAGGAAAACAGGCACATGAATCAATGGCTAAATTGGTGCTGAAATGTGCTGTACTCGTTTTGTGATGTAAGTACGTGTGGAAGACTGAGGACGTATGTATACACACTAAAGCTAGATTAAAGCTAGATTTAATACACCATGTAACGTTCAATGAAAAGCAGGAAGAACTCAGCCATGAAATATCCTCATATCAAAAAGGCAGATTTTGTTCCAAGCCCTGAAGAGCTACTTATGAAAACTGAGTGACTAAAAAAAAATGACCAAGGAATGGCTTCTGTGCGACTCCGCTGACTCCAGATCACACTACAGACACTGCTGTCTTCTTTTCTTCACACACCGAAGGCCCTGGCTGTGGCTCCTGAACTTGTGGAATGAAGGGCCCCGCTCAGTCACTGCCCCAGGAAGCACCTGCCTCTCCTCCCACGCTCACGGAGAGGAAAGGGGACAGCAAATGCCTCGTGGAGTGATCCTTCTGGGACCACAGACCACATCTTCGTGCCACAGGCCAGGAGTGAGTGGCAGTTTTACATCTGTGTGTCACCAGGGGAGTTTGAAATTAGCAATGATAGCTGGAAGGGATATTACGAAGAGACTTTGGTTAAAAAATTAGAAGAGAAAGGGCAGCAACTTGAAAGGGGTAACTGCCAAAGTCAGAGGACATTTAGTTGTACTCATTTCTTGAATTACTGCATATACTTTTTAAATTACACAGAGCTTATACTGAAGTGTGCAGAAAGACAGATGGGGTTCTTATTACAATTTAGAGTCCATTCTGCTACCTGAGACAAAGAAGCCAATGTGAATTTGAATGGACTGCTAGCTTCCAGAGACAGAGAACACAGCCCAGACTGTGGGCAGCCCCGGATGACCTGCTGGGGCCTAAAAGGCACGCAGGCACCGAGGGATCTGACCGGAGTGTTCACGTGGTAACGTCTGCCTTTACTCTAAGATCCTGAGATTACTGTTCATTGAATACCATTCGGGGAAACAGGTCTGAGTTAAATATCAAATTTTACCATCATTGATACAAATGTAGGTAGATAGGGCTTGATGATTTCCTTTCCTTCTTCCAGTTTCAAATCAACACAAATAATGCTTTTTCCTTAAAACAAGTGAATTCGAATATTTAGAGGTTTTGATATATTCATTTAAAAAGTCTCAACTCCAAGGTTCAGCATGCTATCACTTCCCAAAATTGACTCTGTAATCACCTTTTAAATTGCTATTTGGTACAGCATCATGTCACTCTCCGAAAAAATTTAAACTCCTCCCAAACTGTTCATATGTCTTCAAATGACAAGCATCATGTTGCCCGTAAAGAAACAGTTTTTCCATTCTCTTTCTCTAAATCGGCCTGCTGGCCAGAAGTCGGCTGTTTTGCTCCCTGGTGTACCCCAGACACCCAGGATAGAGCCAGGCACAGTGCGGTCAGCAAACACGGGATGGCTAAATGCATGAACAAACAAACAAACGTACTTCCCCAGCTTCTCATCCCTGAACCCCCCATTCAAGCACCCCAATGTTCCTCAGCACTTTCCACTTGAGGCTGTGAAATATAAGCTCAGTGTTGTTCAGAGGGTCACCCCTACAGTATGATCTATAAGAAGGGAAATGAACCTCTCTGCCCTTGGAGGAAATATTCCACGAGTTATCGTGTAACAATGGAAAGTCTTTTCACTGAGTCAATGGCCTGAAACTTCAACTGTCTAATACCTCGCTGGTCAAATCAACTTTTCATTTTCTTCCCGAATCTCTGCAGAGAGGGGACTCCACAGAGAGGGCCCTGTACTGTCACTGTTGACAAATACCCTTGAAGTGAGTCACTGCTGACCCGAACGAACGGCTCACTCACTTGGTCACTTCCTCAAAAATGGAACACCCCCCACCAAGTTGTTTTTTTTTTAATTTAAGAAGAAAAGAAGCACCATGGAAATATGTTCACAATGAGTAAAAGCTATTATGTAGCCCATTCTTCCGCAAGTTCTTTTTTTCTTTTTACACTGTGGTTTTAAAATGTAAGATGAAATAAATCAAGTGAATAAAAAAGTAAATCAAATTTTTCAAAAAATTTAAACCAAACCACAGGTTAATTTTTAACCCAAAATTTCTCCCAGATATTAGTAACGCCCCGTTATTTCCTGACCATGTGAGCTGGACAGAATGAAGTGGTGCCTCGTTCTGAACTGTTGGCCTGCCTCAC